AGCAGCATTATTCACAACAGCCAAAAGTTGGAAACAACTCAAGTGTCCATCAGTGGATGAATGGATAAACAAAATATTATTCAGCCTTGAAAAGGAAGGAAATTCTGACACATGCTCCAACATGGACGAACCTTGAGGACATTATACTAAGTGACATAAGCCAGTTGCAAAATGACAAAGGCTACATGATCCCACTTATAAGAGAGACTTAGCATAGAAGAATGGTTATCAAGGCCTGGGTGTGGGAAATAGAGAGCTAGCGCTAGACGGGTACAAAATTTCAGTATAAGAAGATTAAAAAGTTCTGCAGATGGACAGCCATGATGGTTGGACATGAATGTGGATGTACTTAATGCTACTGAACTGAAAAATAGTTAAACTGGTAAATTTCATGTTATGTGTGTTTTGCCACATTAAAAAAAAATTCTTTTGAGGAAAGAAAAGGAATTCAGTAGAGCAATGAGGTGACAGCACTCAGGCTGTTATGAGGCTGAGGACTCATCGAATGGAGGGATGGAGAGTGTGGGGTGAGGATCAAGAAGGAGCTGAGGACAAGCCCCAGGTGCTGTCAGAGCAGCATAGCCAAGTCACAGAGAGAGAGAGAGAGAGACTCCAGGCCGGAGGGCACCTTTAAGAGTCACATTCATTCATGAGGCCTTCTTATTAACCTCCAGATTGTTTTTAAATTTTGAAGAAAGACCAAGAAAAGAAAGCATTATCACGAAGCAGTGGGGTTTTTCCAAGGGTCTGTCTGCCAACATGCTACAATAAATGAACATCTAGACACTTAAAAGTGTTATTTGGGAAGACAGCTGACCAAAAAAGAAATCCAAATTAACTATCCGATGCTCTATAAAATAAGTCTTTAAATATTTTATAGGATCCCTCTTCGTTCAAACAGAGTCTTTCTAAGCCAGCAGTCGGTCCTGCTCCCACCTTCCGTAGGAAGCGGTAGATCAGAGATCACAGCATGTCTTTCCTGCCGCCCGAGTCCAGTGAATTGTGGATTCAATTCAAATGATAGCATTGCTGACAGAATGAACCCGGTCTTCACCACACAGATCCCTCCCTCCACCCTCTTACCAGCTGGGAGCCCTCCCGAAAGAACAATAGATTTCTAAAATGAGCAAAACAAAGGAGTCGCGAATGAACAGCTCTTGGAAATAAGTAGGTCAAGACACAATCAATTTCCAAATCTGAAATTATGTTTGAAAAATGTACCTTTAATACAGGAGTCGGCTTCGGCCCTCTGGGGCGAGGCATGTAAAGTTTAAAGTTCCTGAGTGGCTGCTTTATCAGGTAGCCTGAAGTTTACCCTGGAGGTTAAGCAATAAAATGGAAACAAAAATAATTTAACAGTTTTGCAGTTAGTTTAACCCAGCAACGGCTTCTTAAATGGCATTCACCTTCCTGGAGCTTGCCATGCTCATAAAGCTACAAGATGCATTTCAAAGCTATGAATTTGCTAAATAGAACTTCATTTCCTCTTCTTATTAGAGGTAATTAAATTTATTAGACGTCAGTAAAAGCCTTGTAAACAGAAAATATGAATGCTTATAAAAGTCTGCCCTCTCTTTTCAGCCTAATAATTAAGATGCAACGAGAAAGCAGCTAATAACAGCTCATAATTTATGAGGTGTCATTCACCCCCGAATCTGAGACATATTGTGGAGGTATTAAAGACTGAAATGAAAATAATACCCACTGAAACACATTATTTATTAAACACATAACCACTCAGAGAAATAAACACATCACACGCAGAACTTGATATTTCTGATGGAAACACTATATACATCATCTCCTGCTTTGGATATATTACCCATCAAGTCAAATCCTTAAATCAAAGTCACGACTTGTTTAAATGCAAACGGCCCGTGGCAGCCCAGCAAGCCCCAAATTTCCACTAGACATTCACCTTGATGTCGGTTTTCAAAGACTGAGTCACAGTGAAGGTTTTTCATTATGATTGTTTTTAACATTCTCAAAAGAAAAGAAATCCCCCGGCAAGCATTAGAGAGAGAGAGAGAGAGAGAGAGAAACAGGAGGGGAAACAAGGAAAAGGCTCTAAATAGAAGAGCAGGACTCATAAATTAACAAAAGCATTTCCCACCCTCCAGCACAGATGAACTTAGAAGCAACTGTGGAATCGATGCCCCCACCCCAATGATGTTACCGAACCCCAGATGGAATCTCTTTTTATTGCAGTGTAATAACGTACTTTACATCTTTATCAACAGTCCAGCGGAAGCCTGTACTTTGAGCTCTTGGGAGTAAATAGTGATGGAAGCTATAGATGCCATATTTCATCAAGGCAAAGATGCTCTTGATTATCAGCTACATCATTATTTTATGTATTGCTACAAGAGAACAAATAAAATGCTGCTAATTAAACTATGACATGCTGTCATTGCAAGGTGGATCTTCATGTCAGAGACGGGAAAACTGAAAAAAAAGGCATTTTAGAATTCACACAATACAGCCCATTAAAGTAGATGAGGTAAAGATGAGCATCCATTAACTGTTATATTGGTTATAGTATAATATGTGAAATATATCTCCATAAAGCTATTATTTTAAAATGTTATTTTGGACTTAATGTTGAAAATCCTAATAGTCAATTCTGTAATAATCAATTGGTCAAGAAAGGTCTCACTTTAAAGGTGACAGGTGAGGAAGGACCTAAAGAAGGTGAGGGAGCTGTGTGGGTATTTGGAAGAAGAGGGTTCTGAGAGCACAAAGAGCAAGTGCAAAGGCCCTGGGGTGAGTGAGTACTTGGTACAGAGAATCCAGAGTGAATGATGCAAAGAGAGCTACGCAGGGGTGCGAGTTGGGGTGAAAAGGGTCACAGGAAATTAGAGCAATGAGGTGACAGCAAAAATAAATTTTCCTCCAGTTCTCTATGAAGTTGAGCAAAAAATTTTAGAGTATTTAAGAATAATAAGAATATATATATATTTTTTAATTTAGGAGATGGTTACTCATCACTTCCAAATCCAAACTCTACCTTGGTAGCTTCTAGAATAGTTTAAGAATCTGTTTACCCTAGCATCCCTGCCATCTTTGCAGATGGTCCCACTCAAAGCAGTTGCCAACTCCAGGTCGTTCAGACAGGACATGTTCATTAGACCACCTCCCCGCTATGAAGTGCTTGGACTGCTTTCAAACTGCAGATTCCTTGAGATGGTGCCTTTGTTTTGCCATCAGGGATCAGAAATTGCTCTTTTGTATAATAATGCTCATGGCAAACCTGCTGCCTTTCCTGGTTACCCCCCAGGACCAAAGAGCAAAATTTCTCCCTCGAAAAGCTAGGTTTCTCTTTTTTGAGCAATTACTCTGAGTCTTGCTCCATGCTAAGAGCTTTGTGTACTTTCTTTTCTTAACCCTCAAGCAATCCTATGTCACAGGTGCTGTTAGTAGACCCACTGAACAGAAGGGAAGCAGAGGCACAGAGAGGTTAAGCAACTTGCCCATGATCACACAGCTCTGTGTGTCTGTGTTTGTGTGTGTAGGGAAGATCTGCTGGGACTGGAATCTAGCTATGATTTATTTATTTAGCCCGGGTAGCTAACCACTCCACTGTAACACATTGCTCTTATGTGGCAGTGGCTAGAAGTGGCTCTGTCTCTTGCCTTTACCAGATCTGGTATCTTCTCTGTTTGGTGGAACCAATAACTTGGATGGAATTGAAAATGGTGCTAAGGTCAAGCTGGCAAATAGGGGGTAAGTGCTCAGGCTCTGGAGCCAGGGTCCCTGGGTTCGAATCTTGCCTCTGCCAGCTACTAGCTGTGTGATCTGGGGGAAGTTATGTAGCCTCTCTGTGCCTAAATTTCCTCACCTGGAAAAACAGTGCGACAGTCATGTGAAGTCTTTAGAACTGTATCATAGTTATCATTTCTGTCCTCGAGTTTCAAAGGACACGTAGGAGCACAGTCTAGGTCAGTGTATCCCAAATATGTTTGGTTAAAAGGTCATTTCAGATGACTAGAGGTGCCCATGACCTTGTCTGAAAGATTCTCATCAAATGATTGGGGAGAGGAGGTCTCCTTCCAGCAGGATGCATGAAGACATGGTAGCAGTGCCCAAGGGATGCCAGGTCCCGGGATGAGCGTCATTCTAGGGGACAGGACGGCGTGCTTTGGGTTTCCAGAGTGGAGTCACATCTTATGTGCATGAAATCATGTACAGTGACAATTACCCTTGAGGGTCCCCCAGGTTGATGGCATGTTGGAAATGGGCACACTAGCTTTTATGGTCTCCAGCCTGGCCAATTTTTTTAAAAAAACCTTTATTTGGGAGTAATTATAGATTCATGGGAAGTTGCCCCTAAAATGTACATGAAGGTCTGCTGGGCTCCTCAGCCATTTTCTTGGTATTGTAACATCTTACATATGTGTTATATATAATATAATACCAAATTGTCCTATGATATCAAAACCACGAAGCTGACATTGCTACAGTTCATAGAGCTGATTCAGATTTCAATAGTTGTGTGTGTGAACAGTTCTACAGAATTTTATCCTACATTAGATTCAGTCATCCCACAGTCAAGCTACAGAACTGGTCCATCACCACGACTCTCCCTTGAGCTCCTTGACAGCTGCTCCCCATCCCTGACCACTGGTAACCGCTGGTCTGTCCTCCAGGTCTACATCTATTAATGCAAGAAGGTTATATAAGAAATGGAATCATTTGTTTACATATGTTTTCAGCATAAAACCATTTGTGACTGGAGGGTTTTGTGCTCGGCATAATTCCCTGGAGATCCATCCAAGCTGTTGTATGTGTCAATAGTTTATTCCTTTTTTATTGCTTAGAAATATTCCATGGTATGGATGCCATGGATGCCATTTAACTATTTACCTTTTGACATTTGTTCACAGTTTAAAGCAGGGGATGCTGTTGGGAGACTTTCGCTCCAGCAAACAGCCAGCCACAGATATTCGGAGTACTTATCATTAAAAGTTAGCTGGATTGATAGTAATACACATTAAATGATTTGGGGGCTATGAAGTGTTATTCTGAGTTTTATGGAATATAATAAAATGGAAGTAAAGCTTGGATCCTGTGATCTCCGCCTTCTGTTTTTTTTCTTAGTCCAATATGGAAACCGAATTTGACAAGAAAAATGGAATTTATCAACACTCTGGTGACAAACAAATGAAAATACAGTGATTTGCAAGTGACTCAGGGATTCATGTGGTAAGAGAGGCAGCGCGACAGTAAAGACCCAAGGCACTCCTGGAGGGTTGGGATGGCAAGGGCAAAATGCAGAAGCTTTATGGAGGCAAGAAAAA